TGCGTTTTTCACTCAGGATTTTGGAAAACTTTGATATTTCTTCTTGCTCCTTCTTCTTCCCTTGGCTCAACAATGGAGTTGAGAATTCTTCCTCCTGAGTTTCTGCCGAGAGAGGGAGAGGATGGTGATGGGATGAATGATGGATGGATGATGGTGGTAATGTGTGAGGATGATGGTGGTGGTGGTAGGGTAATAATATAGGGAAGAGTAATTGGAGGGATGTGGTGGTGGGGTCCTAATGTGGTTTGATTGAGGATTGGAAGAGATGGGGGGAGTGTCTCTACGTGATTTGGAGGGTTTGGGGAATCAAATATGTTCTCCTACTCCGTAACTGATAAACTGGCTAAAACGGTACACGCTTTTTTGCCCAAACTGTTCCGTTTTGAAAACGGATTGCATATTTGGAATCAGACTGTCAAAACTAAAATTTTGATATAATTAAAATATTTTTCTGAAAACTTTTATTTTTCAGTGTTCGGGTATGTCTCAGTCATTATCTAATTTTTAAATTAATTAATTCTTTTAGGCCTAATTTCGGGGCGTTACAGAGTGCGTGTGTATATATACAGAATGATAGCTTTGCTTGGCTAAACGCATATTGGTACCGAGAAAAGTAGCATTTGAAAATTCATAACAATGGCTCTAGCTCCTCATAACAATTCAAGGACAATGTTTGCTCCAATTGCGGAGCTAGACAACAGTCGCAAATCTTGGATTCTCATGTTAAGGGTTGTGCGCGTTCACTTTGTTCCGAGGTGGGTGAAAGGCGGGGATTCCATGGAGATCATATTTCACGATGAGCATGTATCATATTCCCCAACTTCTTCTTTTTTTTCTTATTTTCGAATTATTAAATCTCAATATCTCATTTAATTCTTTGCTTTTGAACAGGGAACGAGAATTCACGCTCATCTCAACCGACCGAAAAAAAGTAAATTTGAAAATCAAATCACTGAGGGTGGTGTTTTTGCCATTCGAAATGTGTTTGTTCATGACAACTACCAAAGTTTGAAAACCACTTCAAATGATAAGCTTTTGGGATTTTTCAAAGGCACCGATGTGAAAACTCTGAATTGGCCAGATTTCCCATGCATGATGTTTGACTTAAAACCATTTCCAATTATTCAAAGCCAACCGTGTTTGAATGATCAACTCTTGATTGGTATTATATCTTAAAAACGATTATCAAGTATAAATTATTTGTCAAAAGTCAATTTTATTCGAAATATACGTTACCCTTAATGAAAATCACGAAAGATAGTTGCTCGAACAAAGGTTCAAACAAACTCAAAGAGAGGCGTGGAACAGAAATTGATGGAAGTTACCCTAGAAGATCATGAGTATGAGTTAATAATTACAGAAAAATGTTTTTGAAATAAATATTACATTCGGATTTGCTCTATATTACGATATTACAGGGGAAATCGTTTGGGTTGCACCCTATGGGAAGAATACGTGGACCGATTCATGGATTGTTTGACCCAAAACAACAAGGAACCGGTTATTATGCTTTTGAGCTTTTGCCGCCCAAGATGCTATATGGGTAAACAACGTATTGTTTGTATTTTGTGCTTGGTCATTTGAACATGAACGAAATTTAATTTGTTTGCCCATATTTTGTAGGGACTCTGACTGTCTCCACTGCATTTCATGTTACCAAGATGCTTTTCGATGGTAATTCTCTCGAGGTTAACAAATTTAGAGCAAGGTATATTATTTCTTTCTAAATATCGAATAATTTAAGTGTAAAAGTTAGAGCTACTCATCTAATGTTTGGTTCCATTTACACAGGTTGCCTCCACAAGTGGATGACGGAATGGGAATGGGAAGCATCGTTCTGAGCGGTGGAGATGCTGGGGACGAAGGTGTTATTAAAACTACCACAATCAAAGCTCTTTTGGACAACATGAAGGTAAATATGGTACTTTTAATATTATACTGCCGAATAAATGATATTATATTTTAATAATAAAAAATTACTTCCTTTTTTGGACAGCCTGGGCCCTACTGGATTCTCAGTGAGATAGATTCACTAAATGATTCAAGTGATTGGTGCTACTTGGGATGTATAGAGTGCAACAAAAAGGTCATTCCTGATGGTGATAAGTTCAAGTGTTCGGGTTGTGCAATTACCATACCGTATGGGGTGTACAGGTAAACATTGTTACATATTAAAAATGAACATAGCATTTATTCGGTAAGAGTGATGGAAGTGAAAAATTAACCACACTTCAAACTTTATTTAATAGGTACAAGGTCAGTGTTCGAGTTTATGATCACACTGGTCACGCTTCATTCATACTTTGGGACCGAGAGTGCAAGGAAATCTTGGGAGCAAGTGCGTTTTTACTAAAGGAAATTATGCTTGAGGTTTGGGAAAAACAATATTTTTGAATTTTTTTTATTATTAGGACGTTAGTGTATTCCCTAAAAAACGAATTAAATTTTCATATTATTCTCTTTTTTCTAGAAAGAGATGGACCCAAACTTCCTACTGCTTGAACTAAATCGCTTCCTTGGTCGGAAGGGTTTGTTCCATGTTGTGTTGAAGGCCGAACTTGGGAGTCCAAGCTGGACTGGCCCGAGAGCTTTTGGGGTTAAGTCTTTGGTTACCGATCCAAAGATCTTGATCAAGTATGAACATTTTGTTGTCATTGAAGATGAAGAAGCTGACAAAGAAATTAAGCGAAGGTCTATGGGCATCTCTTGAAGATTTGAGTCAAAAAGTGCATGAAGTGGTATACTAAATTGTTAATAAATATGTTCCTTAACACTAATTATTGTTATTACATTACTAATTTTTTTATTCTCTTATAGATTGGTTCCAATGATCCAAGCTCTAGCCAGAGTGTCAACACCAAGCAAAGAAGGATTCTCGATTTGGACCAAAGTGAAACGTTGAAAAGGGATCTGTTTGATGAAATGTCAACGAGTGCAAGCAAGAAAATTAAGAAGGAAACTCCTAGAGACTGAACATCAAACTCCTTGGGATTGAAAATCATTGTGTTTTTGTATCTTTGAACACCCTACATGTTTTTTGTTTGTTATGTGTTTTGTTATGTTGTGGGTGGTCTAATTTCGAGGTTATGAACATTTTTTTGTTATAGTATTGGTTGTAACCTCTGAAACTCATGTTATTTGAAGTTTTACGGCGTCGTATCTGAAATCTTTCACTATGCATTTCTAAATTACATACAATTAATCGAGGGATTTAGATAACTTGTGCTTAATACTAATTCCATAACATTACTTAAATAAATATACGGCATTCATAGACTTTTTTATAATTTAAATCGATACCGCAAGGATTAAACTTCGATAAAAAAGCGCACCGACATCCAAACGATATATGAAAATATGTATGCAGAATCTATTTCTTAAAACCATTAACATTCTCACAAATAACCCGAATCACCAAACATACAAAAAGGGACTATTATTAAAAAATAATTAGTGATAGACCAAAGGGCTGCATCATTGGGATTTTTTGTAGGGTCATTTATTACATTGAATAGTGTATTGGGCATGTGGCTCAAGGTGCAATAGATGATTATTTTTATGAACCCCCATTGTGATTGATTGGACGCCACTAATGAGGGGATTTGGTGCGGGCCTATTGTAATCTACATAGATCTTATATTTAAATTTTTCAGAATTTAAATTGGTTGTTCAACTCCATACGCAGTGCCCATAATCTTTTAAGATTTATTGATAATATTCAAAATTAATTTGAAAATAATTTGTTGTTAATATTAATGATACTTCAAAAAAGGAATGAATTAAATCGAAAAATTTAAAGTTGTTTGCTTATTAAAAACACAATTAATGAATCACTTAGAAATTATTTTCATAAAAGATTGAGATCATTGAAAATATTTAACTTCTCATGATGTGAGGTTGTGAATAGTGTATTGGGCGTGTGGCTCGATATACGCGAAGCTCAATGTGGGATTTCACTTCGTAATGAGTGGGATTTGGTATGGCCCAAGTATTATGTTGCTGGAATTTATAAAAATCGGGAATGGTTTTGGGTATGGGCCTGCGTTCGTATGGAGTCGATATTTGCTATTGGGCCTATCAATAGGCTGTTGACGTTGTTATTTGGCTCTCCATGGGGCCCATACCTACACTAGCACGCCAACAGGGATCTAGCCCATTTAAATTCGTTTACCCTTCATATAAAAATAAATTAATAAATCCAATATGTGAAGGATTTCTGGTTTCAAAACTTCAAAAAAAATTTCAAAACAATATATAATGTATAAAAAAATTAACTTTAAAATTTTTAAGAAATTAAGGTCGTCAACTAATATATAAATTCCAAATTTGAGTTTATATATATATATATATATATATATATATATATATATGTATGTATGTATGTATGTATGTATGTATGTATGTATGTATCTATATATATATATATATATATATATATATATATATATATATATATATATATATATATATATATATATATATATATATATATATATATATATATGGGTGGGTTCTAATAAAAATGATCTTCTACGAAAGAAATAAGAATGAATGAGATCCATTGATCTCAAATGATCAATGGATGGAAGCCTTCTATAAAATGGACGGCACCAGTAGGGTTTATAAGGTAAGGAAATCAATTCATTGATTGTGAATTAAAATCAAAGAGTAATAGGGGCAATATTGTAAAATCGTATTGCATTTAAAATGGTCATGGATGACATGCAACTATCCATTACCAAAATTAATGCTTTCCATATATTTGACTTCCACTTAGATTCTTTTTTGGATATGTTGTCACGTTTTTATCTTTTTTTTTTCTCTTTTTTATTTTTTTTGCCATTTTTCTTCAATAAAAATTAATATTGAATATTTTTTTCTATTGCACTCTTTATTCCTCATATGCATTATTTTAATGCATTTCACACGGTGGAAAAGATTTATTTATTTACTTTGATTTTTTTTCAAATTTATAAATAATACTTTCTTGTCACGTTATTTTTATCATTTTTTGGTTAACTATATTTGGTTATTTTTTTATATTATCACATTTTATTATAAGTTTCTCACATTTTAAAGTAAAAACTTAAAAATTTATAAAGACTTTTTAATGTTATTGCACTATGCTAGCTGATANAATATTTTTTTCTATTGCACTCTTTATTCCTCATATGCATTATTTTAATGCATTTCACACGGTGGAAAAGATTTATTTATTTACTTTGATTTTTTTTCAAATTTATAAATAATACTTTCTTGTCACGTTATTTTTATCATTTTTTGGTTAACTATATTTGGTTATTTTTTTATATTATCACATTTTATTATAAGTTTCTCACATTTTAAAGTAAAAACTTAAAAATTTATAAAGACTTTTTAATGTTATTGCACTATGCTAGCTGATAATCTGATATATGCATTGTGTCTTGCTTTTATATTTTATTTAATTTTTGTATTAATTTGTGGATTAGTGAATAATGACACCTGAGTAACTTTTTGTGAGGTGAAAAAGCTTAAGAATGTATTGTATTCAGACTAAATATAATACAAATTTGAGAAATAGTTTGCCTATGCGGGATTCGAACCCACAACCGTAGTACGTACTGCTCTACCATTTGAGCTAATCGGCACCAATTTTTTGAAAGAGACTCACAACTTGCACTTAGACCTATTAAATATAGATTTTAAGATGAGAATTTTACATAAAATTTTAAGTGCATCATCATTTGCGAAAAAATCACTATGTACAGTATACAAATGCATCAGTAATTCTCCACAAGATGCATCAATTTTGATTCCATATTATCCTTTAGCTTGATTTTGAAAATGTATTGCCCTCTTTTACAAATGCATTAGCTTGATTCAATAATGCACAATGATACGGTTATAATACAACCGTAGTACGTACTGCTCTACCATTTGAGCTAATAGGCACCAATTTTTTTAAAGGGACTCACAACTTGCACTTAGACCTATTAAATATATATTTTAAGATGAGAATTTAACAGAAAATTTTAAGTGCATCATCATTTGCGAAAAAATCACTATGTACAGTATACAAATGCATCAGAAATTCTCCCCAACATGCATCAATTTTGATTTTATATTATCCTTTAGCTTGATTTTGAAAATGTATTGCCCTGTTTTATAAATGCATTAACTTGATTCAATAATGCACAATGATAGAAAAAAGCAAAGTAAAAAAAAGCAAAAAAAAAAAACAAACAATAATGTACATCCCTATTGAATACCAAATTGTCCCATCAACATTATCATGGCAAACAATTTTCAAGAATATAACAATATAACCACAATCCACAAATGTTTTACTTTCTTTTTTCTATGCCTTGAAATGTGACTGGAGGTGGGGGTTGTGCTCAACGTAAATGCAGTATACAAAGGGGTGGAGTGCAGTACTAGTGTTCTACAATGCTATGTCTAATAGAAGAAAATCTTAAAATTTCACAGCACACCAATGCAGACTAGCATAAAAGAAGACATAAAAAGGGGTTTAGAAAAAGGTGGATCATTGTTCTTCTAAACCAATCTAGACCAGCACAAAGGGAGACTCAACAGAGGTGTTAAACTTTGAAATTCATTTGCAAAAAAACAAAGGAAGCATCCAATTTTCCAATTATATTGGATCTCTAACTCTAACAAATCTATTACTCAATGTGCAACCAAGGATAATAATACTGCATCTATGTCCCATTTTGCTCCCTGCACCAACTAAATGGAGTTTTTGCACACTAAATTCCAAATTCATCCAGCAAAAAACAAAAACAAAAACAAAGAATTCTACGTAAATAAAGACTTACTGCAATTCATTCAACCTAAATGAGCAGAAAATTAGCAAGAAGCACAATTCACATGAACAAATGATTTTGAAATTGTGTGCTGTCAAACAAAAAATATCATGTTTAGCAAAAAGAATGAGAAAATTGAAACATGAATGAAAACATAAAGAGTGGAATGCCAAATTGAGAAGTGATTAGAATGCCGAACAAGAAGATTTCTTCCTCCAATGACACACCAAAGCAAAAGGAATAAAATTAAATTATTCAAAAATGTGAATTCATGAGGAGTAAATCTATGATTAGTCGTACCTAAATTAGCAAGAGAATCAGTCGGCCAATTCATCAAACATCATCTATGCTTTTTACAACTTGAGTGTCGAACTTCATACAGATCCATGGCCTCGTCTTTATGGACCCATCATGTAATAACTAGAAGAAGAAGAAGAACAAAAAATTGGATTCTGAAATCGGTAACTATAATCACCTTCAACACAGAGATTAGAAATCAAAATTGATAAATTAGGATTCGCCTACCAGATTATGACGCAAGATTTGGAAGGAATCTGGAAGATGGAGTGTATGCGATGATCTCGGGAAGATGAAGACGGGATTGAGAGAGAAAAATTGATTTCAATGTAAAATACCTCCTTACCCTTTGTAAGATGCGTAGATGATGAATCATAGGGGCTTAATCCAACGGTGCATAATTATTCTTATATATATATATATATGGGATTGACTCCAGTCAGATGACACATTACGGTGAGATGACATGCTACGGTCAGATGACACAAAGCTCACCACTGGACACTGCAAAGCTCACCAAGGACAACTACAAAGCTCACCAAACTGTAAGGCAAAGCTCACCATATTTTTTCAACACTTTGAATTTTTTTTGAAAAAAAAAATCAAAGGAAGTGATGCTGACTGGACTTTGACCATTGACCGTTGACCATCACCGCCGCTGACCTCCGCCAGCCACTGCCGGCCGCC